AATCAAGAATTACCATTAAATTGAAACTTACTAATTTTAAAGCAAAAATGAGATGCTAATGTTAGCATCTGGCATATTACATGAACTTTAGAATTACTATTGGATTGAAAATAAATACAGAACCATAGATTTTTTTAGAAAGAGTCGGAGATGCCACTGTTATCGTGTGAGTCTCAGCGCACCGCGAGTTGCAATTTATCCCCTCTTATAACAGGAAGGGCCACGACAACAAGAATGAATGAATATTTGTGGAAGCGCTAATTCTTGTCTAAATTTAAGGGTTGAAAGCTTTAAGGTTTTAAATTTTATTAGGAACAATATCAGATGAACAAATTAAGGTTTGCAGTAGGCAAAAATAAAATACAAAAATCACTAATAAGGGAAGGGAGCACAGGCCGGGTTAATGTGGACTTGACATTACCGTACCAGCTGTAAAAATAAATGAAATTAATAAAATAGCAAAGGATGTATAATTTAAGAAGCTGTGATTGAAATGATTAATTAGTAATCAAGCACTGCAGGGTAAAGTGAAGGCAAGGGACTCATCAGTTAACCTTAACAAAGCAAGCAAGGGATATAGTCATAATTAAATGGAATCAAAACAAGTTCAGTTAAACCAAAGAACCAAAAGGGTTTGCAAGGTGAACACGGTTGAGAATGCAATGACAGACTATTAAGTATAGTTGACTATTTGTTTAAAATAGGAATCATGAGAAAATGCAATAGTTAATGTAATGAATCAAAGAATCATAATCAATCAAGAACCAATGCCTTATTTACAAAAACACAAGTTAATTAAAATACAGACAAAACATATATATATACAAGGGTGAACATTTACTAACCAGCATGGCTAAGCACGAGTGGTCAGGACTGTCAGACCGCTCTGTTACACAGCTGAGTGTCATTCATTTGGCTCAGCTTTATAAATAAATGAATATCTGTAACAGAGACTGAAACAAAAGAGGACAAAGACATTGAGGTGAGGTAAAAGCAAGGCCGGAGGCAAATAACAAGGATAAATAAGCACAGATAGGCTGTGCTACACAAGCCACAAAAGCCTCCCGGCAACACCGTGTTTAGAAAACATGTGTTCTTTGAGATGATTTTGACAGCCATTTTCATAATCACACACCTTGCATTTGAATCCTTTCCCTATACCATGTTTAGAAAAAGTGTGTTCTTTGAGACGTACTTGTCTGCCGGTTTCATAATAATACAACTTGCATTTGAATCCTTCCCCCAAACCATGTTTAGAAGAGAAATGCATTTGGAGATATTTTTTTCCAGATGCAACATAGTTGCATAATCCACATTTTAATTTAGTTTCAAAATTATGTTCGTCAATTTGGTGGGCATTTGAAGGAACTTTGGAATGAAATGAATCAGTGGATGAGGAAACTTTGTGCAATTTCCTTGTTAATCTTGCATGGTCATTGTTGGTCAAGTTGTATTCCAAAGACTTGAACTCAGATGCAGGCTCATCAAAAAGAACTTCTTGGACTGCACCTGCACTATTGGGTCCCAACAAAATTTTTTTCTCAGAAGCAGACATCTCTTTTCCCTTGGTTTCAGGATAAACACTCATCCACTTATCCTGCCCAATTTTGCCCTGTGCATTGCACGGGCTATCCTGAGGAAAGAAAACATATTCTTGCGTGTAATTTCCCATATAAGGCAATGAAAATAAAATTGATGCAGTGTTCAAATAAATTCTAGAATAATATAATCATTATTATCTTCTGCATGCAAGCTTTTGTGGGGGTAAAATTCATGAGAAAGCAGGAATTAAATTAACTTATATTAATACAATCAATAAATTAATTATATTCCAAATGAATGGAAAATAATTTTGGCAATTGAAATAGGAAGGTCATCTGAGCATGGAACTTCTATCAATACAAGCACATTAAAAAGCTTCAATTTGTTTCCGATGTTCATTCTGGGTGTGTGATCCAAAGATTATATATAGATTTTTTGTAAAAAACACAGACAAAATGCACTAGACAATATTTTCAAATAAATGTGCATTCATGTAAATTTTCAATAGAAATTCAATAACAATATCAAATCCCAGAAAAAAACAAAACAGAAAGATATATGATACACATGAAGGGAACGTCATTGCAACACACGTAGCTGGTAGACTTATTGCTGCAGAAGTCTTGATCATTTATAGCCTGTGATAGAATATTTGTGACAAACTTAGATTCAACAGGTAGATATTCTATCAGAAAATGAGTCAAGAACTTCTGATGGGAGAACATAAAAATTGAAAATATAAATTGCTCTACAAATGAGAAATGTATCAAAAATAGGAGCTGAAGAGAGACGAGATGTTCACAGTACAGCCAATGCAGACAGATCATCAACATTTCAATTCCTCGGCAGTTCATTTGCACCCAGAAACCAGCTCTACCAACCTGCTTACGAGGCACGGCAGCAGTGTACTGTGAGGTGCTGGTGCAGGCCTCGTGAGCCTCAACTTGAACCTCTTTCTTGCATGGCTTGCAAGATGAGGGAAGTGGAGTTTGCTGGTCAACACATCATGAGCAGGAACATTAGTTACTTTGCATGGATTTGGATGAAATTCATGTATTAAAATGATCACGGCCTAGCTTAATTCAAATAGGATCAAAGTCAAAATAAGGCATACAAATATTCAATTCAAGAAAACAGAATAATACCATGTGAATCATTTATCACAATTTGAAATTTACTTTATAAACAACTCATGATCTAGCACTCAAAATTCCTAAGAAGGTTATTTTACAGATTTTCGTCTCTGTACAAATATGGTATACCTGTAGCATAGTTAAAAATTTGATAAATTTGTCCATATATTGTTTGTTAGGGGTGGAATTCAATGACTAGCAAATGAATATTTTCAAAAATTTCACCTCATATTCTTCACTGCAAATTGGTTCATCCTTGACAGTGATGTCCTCTCCCTCATCTTCAGGCTCCTCTTTGATGTAAACTGTCATGATGGAGGGTAGGGATGAGCTGCTGCCCTCCATTGCTGGATGGAATGTACAAGAATTAACAGCATGATGATACTTAAAGGGAAGAATTTTGACATTGCAATGGACTCTAACTACTACTATGAATGGTATTTTCGGTGGAATCGGTGGAGAGAACACTAACAGCAAGTCATCATCACCAACTTGTTTTTCAACATTATCTGTCAAGATATTTGGTTCAAGAATTGTGTCAACAATAGAAGAAAATCATATATATCAATGAATTATAGCATCTTCCAGATCAACAAATAATATAGACATTTAAGCACTACCATCAAACAGGGTAATAAGGAACTGGCCGGGTAAATCGAGAGTCCTCCGTCAAAGTATAAAAATGTTGTAGCAGTGAAACTAATAGAAATATTACAAAACTAAAGATAGTGGCATAAACTTCAACATTTTTATTTTCAACATAGCATAATGGAAGTTAAGAAATCATGCATTTACTAGCTCCAAAAAATCCCTAAATAAATGCTGAGGAGAGATATTTTGAAAAAGTACTTCTGTTAAGGTCTGTAGTAAAAAAATATTTACCACATTAAAAAAATTTGCTAAAAAAGTTGCAGACAGGTGTCAGCTTTAAACTTCATAGACTGAATTTGTGTAATCTAAAACGCAATGGTGACCATTTCCGCACGACGGGATATTTATGAGGGGTAATACTGGACACCCCTAAAAATGCATTTTCAGTAGAACCTTGGTAATCAAAGGCTCCAGTTAACAAAAAAGTTGGTAAACAACAAAGAAATTTGATCACTTTTACATCACTCAGCAAAAAAATTCACTTGACAAAAAATTAATGCTTCATTGGTCATCGCAAAATTATGCATATAATGTCATAGACAGAACTGTGATTAGACGTATTAGACTGTGACAGAACGTATTAACCTAAACTAAGATTTACGTTATTTCTTCAAAATATATGATGGTTGTCAATAATATATTCCTTTTGGTTTTAGGTATGTTTTTTATGATATTTTTTGTCATAGTGAATTCACTTGACACAATTAAAATGGTGCAAAATTACAAGCCCAGTCCTGTAAGCTTACAGATACAGAAGAAATGTTATAGCCTATAGGGCTGCTGATATGAAGCTTGCAGTTATGTAACAAGGTCATTGCCAATTATCAGTAGCATGTCCATGGATATGGCAATATCACATCAATAATATGGTAATGTATGGATATGGAGTAATATCATATCAATAAAGGAAAAACAAGTACCATCAAATGGGGTAATAATGGACGGGCAGGGTAAATTGGAAAAGTCCTCCATCATTTTCTAGAAATATTGTAGTAGCTAAACAAATTGAAATATTGCAAAACCAAAAATAGTAACTACAGACCTGGTGTAAAGTTAAACATTTTTCCTATCTATGTAGCATAAAACCAGTTAAGAAATCATACATTTACTACCGCCGAATAATTCCTGAAAAAAAGTGTGAAAAGTGAGATTTTGGAAAAGTGCCTCTGCTAGAAAAATACAATAACAATACTCTGTAGCAAAAACAATACAATACAAATACTCTGCAGCAAAAAAAATTACCCATAATGAAAAAGTTTATGGCACAAAAAAGTTGCACATAGGTGTCGGCTTAAAAACATGATTGACAGAATTTGCATAACTATAACTCATTAAAAAAATTGTGGCCATTTCCGCAAGATGGGGCCATGGGGGTAGTAAGGGACATCCCTAAATATGCATTTACAGTAGAACCTTGGATAGCAAAGGTTCCAGTTTCTGAAAAAATTGAGTAATAGCACAGAATTTTGATTACATTAACCTTGCTCAGCAAAAGAAATTCACTTGATGAAAAATTAATACATCATCAGTCTTCACAAAATTATGTGTAGAATTGATAGAATTTTGAACCAGGCACTAGGCAACTCCTGGCAACATAGAATGAAAAGTAATTAACCAAAACTTTGATTTGTTTTAAGATATCATTTATATTTTATCCTACATTTACATCATCTGCCAAGGAAGAAGAGGACTTTGGAGTACTCAGTACTGGTACTGTTAGTAATGGGGTCCTATTATAGGAAACAGGGCCCAGGGGAAATACACTCCGTATGCACAGTTCACTTAACACTTCCAAGTTACAAGGGTAATTTGGGGTGCTTCTCTTTTGCTTAAGGCACCTTACGAATAGCATATAGAATTTTTTGGAGAAGCCATACAATAGCCCTCTCAAAGACCTTCAAAATGAGCCCAGACTAATTAATAAAATCTCTCATCATGGTACCCAGTGATTAACTCTGCGCCAAGATATAGTTGCTAGCTACGTTTTTTGTAGTGAAAAAAAAACAAACCTGGGGCACACCCCAATTGAGCAGCAAGAATAATAAAAGAAGAAAAACAAAAGAAGTACAGAAAAAAGGCAAAGATTGAAAAAAGAGATGAGTAGAATAATGAACGTGGTTTATAATGAAGATGGCTATTTATATCAGTATATCTATAATCCAAGTAGAGAATAGACATAGGGGATACAAGATTGAGGGTTGGCATCGTATGTCTCCACATTGATAGTGTCTCGTTCAATTCCCAGCCCAGTTGGTTGCTATATCTATGCTAGACTGTGCCTTGCATGCGTTTGTATAACAGTGTAAGTTACTGAAGGTCTAGAATTTATTTATAGCTTCCGCTGTAAACAATACTTCCGAGAAGTACGTACGCTCTGCCGGAAATTTTATTCGCTCGCGTCGGTCGCATTTAATCAAATTGAGTAATCTCTGATTATAATAATGAAAAATAATATTAATAGTAATCATAATAATTTAATAGTGATAGTAATTATTAAAATATAATATTAATGAAAAAATCATGAAAATCAGACATATGTGAAAGTAATGCACGCAGAAGCTCTTCAGATCAAGCGTGAATTGAAGCGCCCGGCAAGCAAATGCTTGAAAATTATGCCCCTTTTAGATTTATTTTTCAGGCTTCGGGTATGGAGATAATAAACCTCTAACCCTGAGCACAACTAACATTTCGGTTGATGCACTTCGCTTCACTTTAGGCTACCTTGCTTCTCTTTCCCTCTACATTGAAATCCAAAACTTGCACCCGATGATGCTGCAGTACCTTGTGAACAGAAAATAGCAGAGAGGCGAGAGGCCTTCCAGTCCTGAGCGGAAATTGTTCAAGGAATTATCTTGAAAGTTGAGATGGATACTGGAAATAAGGTCCGCTTGAGGCGAAATTGATCATAAAAAGGGAGTAGTAGCACGGCGTGGGAGTGAATGATCCAGCTAGCAGAGGCTTTCCCGAGCTCTGATGATGAGGGTGTGTCACTTTAAACTCCCCAGTCAGATAATCCCAACATGGATGCTACATGGTTACCTGCCAGCATGTACAGATATCAGATAACACACTTGATGAACAAATACAAGACTCGAAGTTGCAGGGGTGCAATGAAGCTTTAAGATACAATATTGTAATGGTACGTCGGGCTCCGTGGATCTACCAAAGAGCAGGTTATAGAACAGTTGCAAGATGGTTCATTAAAGACTTAGAGATATCCCTTAAAATTGTGGAGCCACACTCAATCTTACTTCTTATTGAGACGTCATTCGTCACTCGTCAGATTAAACATACTATATTAAACATACAAGATCCAACATATAATATTAAACATACAATATTAAACATATAATATTAAACATACAATATTAAACATATAATATTAAACATACAATATTAAACATATAATATTAAACATACAATATTAAACATATATTAAACATACAATAAAAAACATACAAATCTTTCACTTATTCCTGAGTGCACACGACAAGCGCGTAGAAATACCGCAAAATACTTCGACATATTCCTTCAAGGAATGCACAATGTCCCAAGCGGTTGCCTTGCCAGCCTCGCCCCTCCCACCAGTGTGATAACGGAGCTTAAGTAGTGGAACGAAACTCCAGCTACTAACATATATTGCTTTAGAATATCTTGCCAATTGTATCTATGATCCCATCTTGTCAGTCACAAAGTGAGTGATTTTAGAATTGCTGATTTTAAGTTCATGTTATTGAGTTAATAATAAAGATGTTATAGTGATTAACTCTGCGCCAAGATATAGTTGCTAGCTACTTTTATCACCGTCTACTTATAGGCTTCATGTATCATATTTCAAAATAATTTTACATAGTGACCTTCGTCTAGGGCAATTAGTTTGACAGCGAATTATTTGTTACAAAAACTAGACGTACATTTCATCTGAGTTGTGACCTCATTGATGTATACATGTATTCTAATGCTTTATACAAGGTGGAATATAGAATATTCCATATTCATCTTGAATACGGAATATTCGTTGTTTTCCTCCCACGAACAAGACCGCCTCTCAATTACAGATCTCGCAATGTTTCATGAGTGATAAACTCTAAGACTAGAATAGCGATATGAAGCACAATTCTGAATTTAATGTTCCTTGCATCTTCCTTGGGCCATCAGTCAACTAAAATTTCCCCAATCATTTGTAAACCATAATTATTATTAATCATAATTATTATATAATTATTATTAAGTAATAATAATAATTAATCATCATAAAACTTATTAACGCTCGGAGTTTATAAGCTCCTTTACCACTAAATTTACGATTAAATATTTTTATTTATAAATGTAATTTGAACATTTACCAACACGTTAGGGTAATAGAGTGAAATGGAACTCATAAACATTTGTATATTAAGCATTATTTATATGTTCGTGTACTCTGAAACTATACATGAATTTGATCAATGCCATAATTTGTTCCCTTGAAAATAAGTTTTTCTTTCCTAAACCCAGCTTGTGAAATATAAATAGATAAAAACAAGTCCAGAACTGCCCGGCATCCTGCGATTTATAACTGAAGTAAGTCACGACCTGGGCGATGCTTTCCCTTGTGAATGTTTTATAACTTGAATAAACATTTTAATCATGAGGAGTTATCCATAAGCTAAGTCAGTTGTACCATTGGCTTATCATTCTCTGTTATTTAAGCGATTTGGAATACGCTGCGCTTGGGGAACGATTCTGGTTACGTGAAAACCGCTTGAATTTTTTACTTGAAATACCATGGAATAATAATATAGGATATTGTAGATGTCAATGGTAGATAATGATTATTTGTTCTAAAATTAGTTTATATTTTACAAAGTAAAACATCTTTAAATATTGAACAATGCTTTTCTTCCCATCATAACGGGAGACGAAATCGACATTTTTCT